AATTACTTAATACTGTTATTGCATCAACGATCTCTTTCTTCATGAATGGTCGTATCCCTGTTGGCAATAATCGCTACATTATGATGTGACAGTCATGTGATTTTAGCCCCGTAATTTTATTATTCCCTTCAATCACGTTTTTCTTTAAAATTGAAGCAAGTCCATCAGGAAACCTTACTGATATTAAAAAGTCACAAAACTTTTTACCGTCATCTGGAGATAGTGTATAAGACGCATGTGGTTTCATCCAACGATCACCGTCTTTGTACAAATGCAACTCCTGGCCCACCCTCATATGTTGCAGATGGATTCTCGCCTTGTCCGTATCCTTACTTTTTCCGTCAATGTCTAGAATTGTGCCCAATAAGCTGTCGCATACATTATTCTCAATATGCATGACATCTAAGTTGTGACGTAACGACAATGACTTCCAATAAGGCAACTCCCAAAAGATACTCTTCTTTGGCCAATTAAGCTCGCTTGCATGTCTTTTTCGCTTCTTACCACCATATTTTTCATGTTTATCAAGCAATCTAAGAGACACATTTTATAACTGAGCTAAGATTTCGTGAACAGATTTTTGAGCCGGTGGAGGTCGTTTCTCAACCTTACCATCAAACTTTTTATTTTTTCTCATCCCATGTTTAATAGGAAGCCATTGCCGATGGCCAACAAAACAAGACTTACTTATTATCCTCTTTAAAGGGGTTGAATCGTTGCAAGTTGGGCATGCTAAATAGCCCTGACCACTCCATCCAGATAAACTAGTAGCCTGCATTTGAAATGATGTATTCGAAACTACATCACGTACAATTACTTCTCCATTCCACAAATCTTTTAGCACATCCACAAGGGGCCTTAAAAAGACATCCATATCCTTTCCGGGTGCATTTGGGCCAAGAATCAACAATGTCAACATCTTATAAGGATCCTTAGTGCAGAACCACGGAGCTAAATTGTAGGTCGTTAAAACCACGGGTGACATACTGTATGAGAGGCTCATGTTCCTGAAAGGATTGAAACCATCAGTGGCCAACCCCAAGCGAATATTTCTCGGCTCACGTGAAAACTCAGGATACTTATCATCTACCTCCTTCCATTCATTACCATCGACTGGATGACGAATTAAATCCTCATCATTTGAACGCCCATGCTGGTGCCACGTCATATCTTTAGCAGTGTGACGAGAACCGTACAGACGCTTCAACCGATCTACTAACAGGAAATAACATAGTACTTTTCACGACACTTGTTTAGTACCCTTTGTCTTTTTTTTTCTTCCAATAGGATGTTTTACATACGGGACACATTTGTAGATCATCGTTCTCCTTCCAAAACAAAGCACAATCGTACTTACAGACATGAATTGTTTCGTAACCCAGTCCAAGTTTACTCATGAGCTTCTTCGACTCATAATGAGAAGAAGGTAACTTCACATCCGGGAATGCATCTTCAAATAGATTCACCAGAGCATCCATCCACTCATTAGGCGACTTGTATAACACTTTTAAATGCATCAATTTCACTAAGAAATTTAAAGACGAATACTTAGTACATCGTGGATAAAATCCCACCTGGAGCTCAGAAATTGTAGATCCTTAAATTCAGCGTACTGTGCATCTTCTAGATCCACATGCATCTCCTCCAGCATTTCATTGTCATAATTAATCCCAGCAACATCTTCTAAGACTGCAAACATCTCGTCTACTGGTTGATTAACTATTGGGTCGACACCTGAAACCGCTTCTACTTCACCATGGTGAATCCATGTACTATACAATGGATCAAATCTCACAATTTCTACTGGATGCATTTCATGGTTCCTACATTTCACACAAGGACAACTGATATGGCCAATTGAAGTTGCATAATTTTTGGCGACGTCAATAAAAGCAGATAACCCATTCCAATATTCATCTGACAATCGGTTCCTCAAATAATTCCAACTTTTTTTAATCGGCATTTGAACTATAAACAACAACAGACATAACAATTTATTAATGTGTTTAATTAATTTTAATTCTA